CCCGGTCCCGGGCGCCCGCAGTCGATGGCCGGAGTTGGCACGTCGGGAGCCCACCTCCCTCCACCCCGCCCGGAGCCCCGAGCCCCCGGGGAGCCGTTCCGGGCGTCGGGCTGCCCGCGGGGCCCCTTCGCCGCACCGCCCTCGAGGAGACTGGAAGACAGTCTGCGCGGGGCTGAGGATGTGGACGCCCGTGGAAAAGTGGCGGCGTGAGCGGGAAGTTTTCCGCCGGAGGGGGGTAGCGAGGAGGGAGGGCAGGAGCGAGGAAAGCGGGAAGCCTGGAGGGCAGCCCCCGGCGAGGGGGGCAAGGGCGACCCCTCCTGGGGCTCGGGCCTCGCCCCCCCCCCGCTGTTCCCCACGCGGGGCTCCCCCCGCCCCAGGCTATCTTGCCCACCACCCTCGCATCTACCCCCGGGCGAGGAGCCCCCCGTGTTGGCGGCAGCGCCTGGACTTCCAGGCGCTCTGTCCCCAGGACCCCGGCTTCCCCAGGGCCCTGGCGCCCTGGCTGGCCTGCCCTCCCTCGAGTGCTCTCAGCGCTCACGCAGCATCATGAGGCTGAGAAACAAGACCGCCAAATGAGGTGGTGCGTTACTTGTAGAAACCTTAGCAAATCGGGATATGCAGGCGCATACCTGTCACTTTCTTTTCTTGAGCTGTGTTCGATATACAAAGGCGGGGGGGCGGGGGTCGGCTGAGATCACAAAGGTGAGTTTATCCTCAGTCACTTAGTCCCCCGCTCAGAAAAGACCCAGATCTCTCTTCGTTCCTCTGCCCCCAGTTCACTCATCTTCAGAGAGTACTGATGATCACAGTAGGTACTGATGGCTTTTGTGCCCAGCATTGTGCTAACAAGCTCTTTAGGTAGCCCTAAGAATCCGTGTACAATAACAGTAGCTGGCACTCACTCAGAGCTTTCTGTGTGCCTGGCACAGTTGAAAGTGCTTGACATGCGCTATATTTAATCTTCACACTGCCCCCCCCCCCGGGGTGGGGGAGGTAGATCCTCGTATTATCCCCATTTTACAGATGAGGAAATGGAAGTGATGGAAATTGAAAGGTGGACAAGTCCTGGGTCCCGCCGCTGGTGAGAAGCAGAGCCGGGATTTCCACCCCGTCTTACTTCAGCACTCCCACTGTTAACCGCTATAAATGTTCTTTTGGGCTTTGCCAAAGTAGGAAAATGATTCGCTTTCCCCCACAGAAAAGCTAAGTTCTTCTGTAGATCTGAAGTCAGAGCCCAAGGTCCAAAGAGATTTGAACCACCCTCATTACAATCTGTGGAGAAAGACAGACCCAGTGGGCTGCAACGGGACAGCAGATCCTGTTGGTAGGTGCCTACATCGAACAATGGTAATAACCATTGCTAATAGCCATCATCGACTGAGCACTCACTTTGTATATTTAATCTTTATGGACGCATGTTGAAGTAGGTACTAGTAGGAACCCCATTTTATAGACGAGGGAACTGAGACTCAGGAGGTTGAGTAACTTGCCACAGAGTTGGGATTCCAGCCCGGATCCACTACCTCCAGAGTCCAGATGGGAGCTAACCTTTGGCAGATGTGTGTCAGAGGCAGAAATGCCCCCATCACCTCTACCCCAGCTGGGCCCCTTGAGCTCTCTGCCCCCCCTCCCCAGCCAGTTGCCTGGAGCTCTGTGCTGTTCCCTCTTTTCCTCAGTCCCCGTTGGCATGAAAGAAGGGATTGTACAGGTTGTAGAAGAAAGGGTTTCCTAAAGAACATGAGGCATTCTGCACGGATTTGGGCTTTGTTGTTGTACTAAGTGTCGTGCCTGTAACATCAATAAGTTGTTCTGCTTTATAAGTTTTATTAATTAGACAAGTGTCTGGTCTGCTGGCTTGGAATTGTTAATCCAACATTATGGCTGTATCCGAGTACCTCTGTTAGGAATTATTTTCCGAAGTTTTTAGGAGCCTTACTTGCAGTGCTGAGCAAAGCCATCTTCCCACCTCCTGGGGAGGGAGATGGGGCTTGTTTCTTGGCCAGGATTTCAGTAGCAGGAAAGACTTCCGGTACTTGCCTAGTAGAATTGCCCAGTGCCTGTTGATAGTCATCCCTCCTTCCCTCAGGGTGGTCCCCGTGGGCTGAACAAAATGTGGCCAGGTCCCAAAGGGAGGGGCTCTTCCTAGTCACATGTGGTCCTGCAGGGGGGCTGCTGGTAGCTAGCTCCCCACCATTGGCCCCTGCCCATTAGATAGAGCTGGCTTCCGTGGGCCCTCTTCAATGTGGGCATAATAAAGTGTGGGAGCTTTGTGACTTTGGTCTCCATCCCCGTGGGTGCTTCCCAGTGCATCTGTTGGAGGTCTAACCTTCCTTCTTCCTTCTGTGATGTGAGAAGGGGGCCTCCCATGTGTAGCTTTTGGGTAGTACGTAGGATGTGTGGCTGGTAACCCGAATGTTGGGCTGTGGCCCCGGTTGCCAATGTGGCCTCCTCCGAGTGCAGCGCATCAACTCACAAGACTGCATGAAAGGGACCAGTGGGTCACATAAGTCCTCTGCCCTCATTCCCGAAACCAGAAATTGAAAACTCCCTTCAGTTGTGCCTGAATTGGTTCTCTGATTTCTTCTTTTCATCGAGGTGGCTTAAATACCTAGAGGTTTCCCTCTTTCCTGAATCGTCCTTAGTATTCGTTTGCTGTCACATTTGACATTCCTTTCCTGGAATGTCCTTCTCTGCCTTGACCATCTGCTGGACTCCTCCTGTTCACCTTCACCACTCAGCTTAGTTCGGGGGTGGGTGTCTGCTGGAAGTCATGGGGGTGGTAGGCAATGGGCCCTCCTCTGGGCTTTCGTAGCATCCTCTGCTGCCCCTTGTGGTTCCAGGTGACACATGGTTTTATGTTGTTGACATACCTGTCCTCCCCTCCCCGCCCCCCGCCCCCTCCACCAGACAGACTGCAGTCTCCCTGAAGGGAGAGACTGGGCCTATTTTCTCTTCATGTCTCCAGTACCCAGCACCATGCCCGGGCACATAGGAGGTACTTGGTAAATTTTTGTTGCATCTATGAATAATACATGCGTGAATGAATGTATCTAAAAACTGGAGGAAGGAGCCTGTGACTCAAGCAAGGGACTCCGCTGTTGTTCCCCTTACAAGAAGGGAGATAGGAGCAGAGCTTGCATTGTTCTGCAATAGAGTCCCTGAATTTTAATCACTGAAAAAATACAAATACACTGAACTGCCAAAATCCCAAAACGTGAATGCTTGGGGAAGGGCTTTTCTGGTTAATAGAATGTTCTGGGTACCTGAGGGTTAGGCAAAAAAAAAAAAAAAAAAAAAAAAAAACCACTCTTTTTTCCTTACCCTTCTCCTTTCTTTCTAAACTGCCTGATTCTGGTTCTTTACTGTAGTGAGTCAAGTTTGGGGTCCATCATTGAATCTGTGTTGCTGAGTAGGGAGCCTGCAAGTTCTTAGGATCCCCTAGGATTCTGTCTCTCCCCAAGCCTGGTTAGAGAGTAGGGTGCAATCTCCTTACCACCCCCACCCCCACCCAGAGACAAGACCACAGGCCCTTTGAAGTTTGCAAATTGACTGCCGCCACCTCCAAGAAACAGACAGCCCCCCCACCCCCGCCCAGACTAACAACGTAAGGGAGGTGCAGAGTGCTTGGGTGCTAACTCATGCTCTCTGAGATAGTAACTCAGCACCTGCTCTTGCACTTGGCTTGTATTCTTTGGCGGAGGGTTCACCAACCTCCCTCCCCCTTTTCTGATTCCATAGGATCTTCCCTTTTCTTTAGGAAAGACCTTATAATTCCTTCCTCCTTCTCAGCAGGGAGATGCAATCAGGCAGACTAGAAGGGGTCTCGTCCTGAAGCTGTATTTGGCATCTCTGGACACCTCCAGGCGGGGTGATAGGAGTTTACCAGGCCTCTGCTCACATAACCTCTTTTAAGGAGCTGCTTCTTGGCCTGATTCTTGCACTGCGCCCACCCAGGTACTCCTGCGTGGACAGCTTGAAGACAGAGCACAGGGGGGATGCCGAGGGTTGCTCTTATCTGCTCCCTCAGAGGAGGTCAGCCTGGTGCCTGCTGGGCATGGTGCCTGGGTTTCAGATACCACCTGCATCATATCAGGCAAGGAGGGGGCAGATGGGCATCGAGGCAAAGCTGTGGGATAGATAGGCCTTTCTTTGTCCAGGTCTAACTACACTGGCCTGCCCATCTCCTCACAGGCTCCCCAAGGGACACTGGAGAGAAGACCTTCTGCCCCAGCAGAGCCAGATGGGAGACAGACAGAGAGAGAGAGAGGAGAGGAGCAAAGGTTTACTCTCCATCTCCCTGCGTTGGCTTCAGCTTCCTGTTTCCCACCCCACCTCTCCCAGCACCCCCTCCCCCATTCATGCTGTCATCTTCACGCCCCTGCCATCGTCCCCCTACTCCCTTCTGTCTCCAGACCTGCTCTCGGTGCCCTCCCTCTGGACTTGCCCAAATGCGGTCCCTCCTCTAGAAAGCCTTCCCCTGCTCCTTCCGGAAGTCCGCAGAGGGTGGGCAAGGGTGAAGTAAATAACCTCCAAGGTCCCTGCCAACTGTGAGATTTGGCCGTTTGACCAGGGTCGGGGGCTGGGGACATCTGAGGCTGGTGGCCCAGGTCATCAGTGCCTGACAGCCCCACAGAGAGGAGGAAGACTGCACAGCCAGCGGGCCGAGTAGGCCCCTGTTTGGCTTCGGGAGGCTTTGCTGGGAGCCCTGTACGGCCAGAGCCTGCCAAGCAGCCCCCTGAGGGGCCCTATTTGAGCCCTAGATCTTTGGCTACTGGAAGGAGCT